AAACGATCATTGTCGACTTCGAGTTCACGTCCCGAATCAAGTGGAACTTTCAATCTTGGAGTCTTCCTCGCGGAAGCGTTCAGACCAACCTTGTGCAGCGCATTCGGATACCCTACGTTCTCCACACGCAGCATCAATGCGACGTCTGGATTAGGCTGCTGATTCGCCAAATATCAACCCGTATAGTAAAAGGTCATGAAAGTACTGTTGTGAAAGTTGCATATTGCAGAAACGTGATAAGCTACAGGTAATAGCTAATAATTATACTGAACTTGCACATATATGTTCTCCTTATATATGCACGAGCCAAGTTGCTGGCAGGCGTTTAGCAGGTTAAAAAAAGATTTTTTGAAAACCGCAAGGACTTTCCCTACAACCTAATAATACATCACTCACTCACTGGGGAGTCACGAAATGGCTCTTCGTATTTATCCTCCCCTTCAAAAAGCCAGAAAGTGTCGGGTGCAGACCATACACCACAAGTGACGACGGCCTCAGAAAATGCAAATGTTTTTTGCCAATGAAATGATTAGCCTGTTGCAGTTGTATTCTATCAGTCACTAATTACAACTATCATTTACCAAAAATCAGCTATCACTATGAACCACTACTAACCAGATTTACTTGGAGGCCGTCGTCAGTTGTGGTGTTTGGGTCTGCACCCACACTTTCTGGCTTTTTGAAGGGGAGGGTATATATCACTGCCGGAGGTGGTGTAGTGGCATGTGGCACTTCCTGGCACACTCCGAAGGTTCAATCTCGGACCGAATCTTGTTTGAGCCAGCGAAGCCTTCACTCTCTTTTAGAATATCCATGGGAACCAGACATGTCCAAGGCTTACCTATGCATCAGTTGGGGAAGTAAGCCAACTACGAATCTATATGGAAAAATTTAGAATGCGTGGCGCATCCTCAACGGCAACGATCACTGCAAGAAGCTTCGTTTTATCTCTTCGTTTCTATAATACATTATCAACTATGCAGGTACCAACTCCTATGACCACGGGAGTACCGCACCACCGCATGAGCGACTGCTGCCTCTGGGTAGCAAGACGATTTTAACCCTTCTCGTTTTTTGCAACAGAAGCTTGTAGAGCAGTTTCTCCTCTCCTCCAAAAATCATTCAGTCATTCATCACATTCGTCTACAATCAACACTTTGAAACAATTGCAAAGCAGGGTTAGTCATTGAGGTAAGGTAAAGGTAAGTGTTTCAATATTTATTTTTAGAAATTAATTTAAATAGGATGATTGAGCAGGAATTGTTGAATAGCGTAGTACATCTGAGGAGCTCTCCATTGTGGAGCCATGTGGCCTGCGCCTCGCACTGAAATAGGTGATGAAGATTGTTTAAAAAAGCTTCAAAAATCGATTCTAGATTTCTTAACATCGAAAAGTACCTGTGATGAAGGTGAGTCCTTTGAAAAGTGTCTTGAATCCGGCAATTTGGCGGTCGAATTTCCATGGAGTTTTGCCGAGAGTTCGCTGAAAAATAGCCACTTCGGGTAGTAAACTTCAGCACGAACCGCGGGTCGACAATAACTGGTGGGGTTCCCGCAACCAAGCGAAGTGGTCGCTTCGAGTACCTGGCTCACCTGAGCCAATCAAACCCACTACTTGAACTAGTCAATTGGCAACTTAATAAGCACCGGCTTCACCTTGTCATAAAACCACCCGGGAAAGGGATTGGCCGTGGGATCAGTCAAATGCCGAAGATGTTTTGCGTGAACAAGCCTCAACAGCTAGGCACCCCTTCAGAAAGGAACCGAAACACAAGTGTTAACTCCCACACCCATTCTCCCTATCCCTACCCGGGACTTTGGCTGACTCCTCTCTATAAAGGCTTACTAGGAGAGCAGATATCTCATAGTACACTTGACAAAGGAGAAAAGTTGAATACTCCGTAAATTTGAATTTCGGGCATTTTTCCGACGAATTCTCGACCCTAAGAACGATACTGGTAAAATTCCTAATCCCCCCATTCCAAATGTGAGTGCCCTTTCTATTCAAAGAGACATCCTCCTTCAGAAGGTCAAACACGACTCTCCGCCGCTATCGACATTCTCAACCCATTGACTCCCTTAAAAGGACGAATTCACGATCAGAGGGAAAATCGAATTAGGAAGAATTCACCTGGTTGAGGGACCCGCGGAGCTCCTAAGTGTGCGAACTGAAGCACAATTTGCACAGGAGGAGTTGACCTCGTTGACCTATTAAGGTTTAATCCCGCCGCGGCTGGTCAGTGCACGCCCACCGATCATCTGATCACTCGCCGCAGGTCTATACGTGGTGAGTGATTAGATAGGTGAGAGAGCGTAGTTTTTTTTTTTTATTTTGGAGGCGTTGTGTTGAAGAGGGCACAGCGATGATAGTCGCATCAATGCTCAAATCAACGGGCAAGGAAGGGGTCCCATTTCTCGGGTTCTGGGCCGTTTCTCATGGTTTTTCCTTCTTTAGTGTACCACTCACCATCGCTAACTTAATTTGAAATGGGTTGCCTTTCCAGCGTGAATTCGTCCTTTAAGGTGGTCATGCCAGCATACGAAGGGCGCAATGTACGGTCCGCTCCGATGGGGAATCTGAGAGAATGGAAAGACGAAACAGACGAAAAGATGAAGTGTCAATCGTTTATCAAGACCAAGCTGGTCTGAGAATTGCTGTCCCATCATGAAGTTACAGGCCATATCAGTGTCCCCGTAATAGAGGAGTACTCGAACATTCGCTGCGACGATCTTCTTGATGAACGGCGCCATGTCTCCGTATTGCTTCTGATAAGTGGTGGTCACTTGGTTGCTGAAATGGTCCTCTACTTCCAATAGTTTTTTCCTTGAAACAAAGCGAACATACCTGCAGATGTCCCATTTCGGCAATTTGTCCGGAATGTTGAGTGCTTGTCGAACCTTGGCATCATTCATGTACACAATCACATCTGTGTCGTTTAGGCATGGAGCATCTCCGTACAAAGGCTCGTTTGCCTGAAGAAAAGTGCCCTTATTTGTGCATTCGAAGTAGACCACGACCACTCACCCTCAAGAAGCTCATGAGATCGCCTGACTTCGTCTTGGCCATTTCAACAGATTTGTAACCGGCAGCGACACCTGAAATGAGGTTGACTAACTCGAGGCTGTCCGCAATCTCATAAAGTAAAGATCCACACCTTTCAGCATATGGGACATTCTTTCTCCGTTGACTGCTGGGTTCGGGTCACAGTCTCTGTACAAATCATAGGGGTTCAGCCCTCCTGCCCAGAGGAACTGGAAGATGTCCTCGACCATTGTGGCGCAGTGACCAGTGACCTGAAATTCCCGACTAACTTTGATTTCACAAATAAAACCACAAGCAAGCATTTTCTACACAATCCCTTTTCTCCAAATACTTCCAAGTCCTTCCCTATATAAAATCTGTTTTCGATAAAACCGGAACTCTTCCTGGTGACTGAACTCCTTGAGCCTCCTTACTGAGCAGCGCCCACCGCCCCAATGCGGATAGTTTTTTTCATTTCGGAACCCGTAAAAGAGGCAGAATTAGCGCTTGTATAGCTTTGTAACCCATCTAGAAGCTAAGAATCGGTGGTCAACCCTCAGAACTTGTAATGGATAAAGGTACTTGGCGAAGTGTGTAGCCATGGAGCACATTTTCACCCTCGCTCCGAATTGTAGATGAATGCGTATGCACACTATCATCGAAACTTGTGGATTGATTCCCAAAAAAGGAACGCAGAACTATGGGTTGAACCTACACAGGATCTTCAAAACGTGCATCCAGACTAGGACCGAGCAAGGACCACACTGCGTGGGCAGGGCATGAATGCTCGCCAAAGAGCCTAAACAATCCTACGGGTGTCTAAAGAGTTCGCAGAAAAGTTAGTGATGAACGAGGCTTTTTCGAAGGGTTCTAACGCAAATATTCAACGATCATGGGAGATCGCTTCTAAACGGTGCTGAAATTGTATTGCTGAAGTATACAAAACATCGAACAGAATCCTAAGAATCGTCTAGAGGTATCCGCCGTGAGTCTTCACAACTACAGTAGCTGAAACGTTCTACCCAATGACCCAATACACTGCGCACTTACGGCGTTTTGAAAGTGAGCTGGCAAAATGTCCAGAATTTTTAGGGTGAGTGGGAAGGAGGATGGGTGGAGGGAGCGAAAATATATAAAAACTGCATGTTAATACCACGCTTGTTGACGAAGCGTGGCTGAA